GTCTACTGCTGAAAAACGGTCTCTAAGAGAGTAGACTTGTTCTCAACGATATCCTCGGTCGAAGGAGAAAAAAGAGGGCCGGTCAGTTTAGCAAAAGCAAACATCTTCGCAAGACAAGAACGATCATAAGCACGCACTAACATTATGACATGTTACAAGTGCTCGAGGCCCCTGAGGGGTTGTCAAGTGGCCTCCACATCAGGATAGCCCTTCCAACGCACAAGGTACTCGATGCGTGGAGGGATATCGTCAATGACTCGGCAAGAAACGATGTCAGAAACAACAAACTTCTCATAACTGTCCATCATGATATGAGGATGACGCTCATAAGAATGTCCAACAAAGCGCTCAGACGGTCTGTGAGAAGGACGTAACAAGGAGACATGGTACACATCATGTACCCAAGCTGGTTGAAGATAATCAATCAACTTTACTCGGAAACTGACCGGTATATCCGCAGTATGAGATTCGACGGCATGAAGTCTGCGGCATGAACCGAAAAAGTGAGATCCTGCGTTGCCACTTGTTCACACCCTCGTACGAGTACGGATTTGTACTCTTGTACTTGTACGTTAGGGGCCCCGTATGAGGGTTTTTTTTTTTTTTTTTAAGTACGGTATTGTTTTTATTTTGTTTCTCAAATTATAATAAGCATCTGAAGATGATGCTCCGCCAAATCTTGCTTGTTTTGTGCTGTCGCATCACATATTATTTTTTCGGATTTTTTTGATGACTTTTTTTTTTTTTTTTTTTTGCTTTTTCATACGGGGGAGTACAAGACATACAGGTTCGTGTACAGGTTCCCGTACAGATCCCGTACAAGTATTACCTGTACGTTTTGTATGTAAAGCCCTCGTACGTGTACGCTATGCAACATACGTGAGATCTGAACTTATGAAGCGTATCCACTTCGAGTTGCAAGTGGCGGGTGTCGACGAGCACATCATCACTGGCTTTGAAATGGGTGGTCCATTTGCGATCAGTTCGTTCGTACGACCATGCGGGTCTGGGAGGCGGTTATACTCTCATGCGAGCAATTAAAAATAACTTTTATATGCTTGACCCACTCGTCAAGCGATGAAAAATGAGTGTCTCGATGAATCTGCGAGGGTCGGAAAAATTTGTTGGCACTCAAGTGTAATAACCAGGATCGAAATAGTATGACGACATCCCCGTGGCTAGCAAAATGACATTGTTGTACACTCTGATGGAAAAAATTTCAAAAAATAAACACCGCCTCCCTTTTAGTTTGTTTTCCTTGTTTTTTCTTATTATTTATTTTTTAATATTTTTTTTTTACCTCTATGATTGTTAGCTTTCATTTTCCTGATTAGGTTTGCCACTTTTTTTCCCCTAATCTCCCAACCTTTTTCAACTTAGAGTTTTCTTAGGGTTCAGGGTTTTTACCAACCCTTTTTTCTTAGCTCCCACCCCTTTTTACCCCGACACTATGGATCCCAACACACCATCCCTCATGAGCAGCTCCGAGTTGATTCTTAATCTCCTGTACCGACAAAAGAAAATAAAAAATTTACAGATTATAAACAGTAACTACATTCTTAGTATGTTAAAAACACGCCAACAGAATAATGCCCAATTTTTTTTTTTTTTTTAAGTTTATGCCTATAAGGCTATAACTTTCAGGTGCGACAGATTTGTAGATTTAAGAGTTCTGTTCAACTTATTGTTAACCCTATAACTATCAAGCAAGAGGGAGTTAGGGAACAAGTGTACATTTTTTGTCTTAATTTTTTTTTTTTTGTCTTACCTTTGTATTTTTTGTAGTACTACGGGTGCGCTAACCTTGTATGCTACACCTTGGTTGATCTCACTTGCACATATGTGGGGACACAAACACGCACACATTTGAAGCATGCACATATGCTTATAGACACAAATGTACGCATGTTCAAAAATATATATTTTCGCACATATGTGTACAAGAGTATATACACACACAAAACGCGAGAGCGAGGGCGCATACAACACCTCTCTCTTTCCCCCTTTATCTCACACATATACATATGAACGTGAGTGCATACATGTAGGCAAAAATACATGTGCAACTCTCTCTCTCTCTCTCTCTCTCTCTCTCTCTCTCTCAACACATTTGTGAGATGCGGCTCGTATGCCCTTTCATGACATCTTGCCCCGACGACTGAAAGCGACTCTTGACGTCCAGGCCGATAGCATAGCCCCAAAAAGGTTGGCAACCTCAAAGGTTAATCAATGTCTTTGTACGGGATCATATACAAAGATAACGAACCGATATAAGTTGAATTCACTATAGTTCATAAATATAATATCTAAAAGGTTAAAGTGAATGCAACAAAGTTCAACATAAAATAATTGAGCAAATTAAAAAACATAGAAGACCTCTAGAGTCTAAGATGAATGATCTATCCTGAAAATATATATATATTTTTCGTAACTTATTCCTCATGTGTTTTTATTTTTGAAAAATTCTTAAAGTCCTAGGTAATCAGGGTGATGAATCATATATGATATATATAAAAACTTGTTCAATCCTTTATGGATCATAACTTTCGCCCTATGTTAGAGAAAATCAATTATCGTTGCCCTAAATTTAAAATTTTATGTTATATGCTGGATGATATTAATTGAAATATTGAAGAACATATGAGTACAAAAAAATAAGACAAGATCAATAGGATTTAAACCACCAGAGCCTCTTTTTGCCCAAGCAGATTCCCCTTGCTCGCCAAATTTCGACGAAACATTAGTACAATTTTTTTTTTTTTTTTTTTTTTTTACCACCAACTATTCTGCTAAAGTAATACTCTGCGTAGCATCGTGTTCGTGTTCGGAGGCGAACCCGAACATGTTCACCCAAACGTGAACAAGCGCCCAAAACCCTCCGAACGCGAAAATAAAAATATTAAAAAAAAACAAAAAATTATCCCTGAAAAATCTGAAAAATATATGTAATGCAAAATAACAATACAAGGAACGTTTGCTTTAGAGTCATGCTTAAATTCTTAGCCAAACGTGAGTTAAAATATATATATATATATATACAAGGTTACCAGCGTTCGGGATGGGCTGAACGCCCAAACCTGAACGCCCGAACGTGAAGGACCCCTTCGGAAGGCGTTCGGCCATTCGGGCCGAACGCGAAAAAAAGTTATATATATATATATATATATTTTCAAACAATTCCGAAAAAAAACTATGTTATGGATAAAAATACACTTAACAACATTTGTGCGGGCACTACATCCAACTTCTTTATCAAATTTGAATTAAGAATCAAATACAAAAAATAAACACTGTGATAAAAATAAGAAAAAATAAAAAGAGAATTAAAATGAGTGAGTGTGCCAACACCTTTTCGACACCGCCATCTTTGCCGATTTTTAATTATATTTTGGCATTGACAAATGCCCTGAAAAATTACAGATATGTAGTTTACATAATCAGTAACTCATTAAATAGTGAGTGGGCGACCACGTTTTGACACCCCCATCTTTGACAATTTTTAATGTTTTTTTGGCTTAGCAGAATGACTTCAAGATTTATAGGCATGTAGGTTACATCATAGAGAACTCACAAAACAAAACGCAAAAAAACAAACTTATTGTTAGGCCCCGAAACATTTTTTGGCGGGGGCCAAACGTGGAGGTGTTTGGCACCCGAACGGGACCCTGAATGCCCGAACGTTCGGGGGTCAGTTACCTGTATATATATATCTATATCTATATATATATATATATATATATATATATATATATATATATATATATATATATATATATATATATATATATATATATATA